TGGTCACCATGCTCGGCGTTGCCGACTCCAGACCACACCCTACACTTCTTGGCAAAGGCTTCCTCGGAGATTTAAGTCGCGAACGCTTCCTTTGGAGTACGGCGCAGTACCAATCACAATCACCGTGCAAAAGTCATCGTCATTGTGCAAAAGCAAACAATGCGTTGTCGTCTATAAGCAATAACTACCATTGGGCAGACTACGTCTCGGCAACGCCTCCGTATGCTAGAGAGGTAACTGGGATACTCTATAAGCGCTTGAAACACCGCAAATGGTTGTCACGGAACCTCAATTAAGTTCGAGGAAGGGTGGAAGGAAGCGGGGAACCAAAGTATACTCCAGAGGCACTGCCTCATTGCATGGGGGCCAAAACCGGTACTGACATGTTGACAGTCGTAGGCAACAACGAGCTTCTATGGAATATGATAGGCGTGGAAAGATCCAGTGAGCCACAATCTATACAAGGGGCGGTAGAGATGAGAGTGTGATCAACCGGTTGGCAAAGACCGGTGCGTTATCATACGTGATAGGCCACCGTCTATTCAGCATCCTCCAGCATGACTCCCCCCTCTACGCATCAAATCTCCAACATGACTCCACCGCCTTCTTCAGCATCGAAGAACTCATCTTCCTCGTCTGATTCGTCTTCCTCGGCTGCCGTCAGTGGTCCAACAGCAACACCCCCGTCTTCCTCGTCTTCCTCTTCGTTGTCCTCTGCTGCCTTCGTTGGTACAGAATCAGCAGCTGCGCCTTCAAGCAGCGCGATAACCTTCCAGGCAGCGATAGTCTCAGTCTGCAACCTCTTGACTCCCTCGACCACACCTCCTACATCCTTCCCACCAATCCTTACCTGAACCCTATACCCCTTCTCCGGGCTGCTCGCTCCTTTACCAGAATTGCCTTGGTCGCTCGTGACCCGGACGTACTTGATACCCTTATCCGCCGCAAGCGTATTGATCCGCTCTTTCGGATGCCAGCAGTCCACACCATCACGAAGAATGCGCTCTAGACATGGCAAGATACCCAGACGACGGACAAACTCTTCGCACACGGGGATAGAGCCATGGGAATCGATGTAGAGGGCGCCGATAACGCTCTCGACTATATCAGAGAGAAACTTTGGTGGGTCAGTGAGCGAGAGCGCATGCCACGGGAAGCGATTGTCGTGCGCAAGAGCTGTAGCGATCGCATGACGTGCCTCGTTATGTTGCTGCAGGGCTGCAGTTCGCCCGGCGATGAGCTCTGGGCTCGACGATCGAAGGAACTGCCACAGAGCTCTATGATGCACTTCTGGCTGGAAGGTTGACTTGTTGGTCAACTCTTCCGCTACCGTAGTCTCGAACATACAGTAAGTCAAGAACGCGGCGTTTACCATTGCTGTTCGGACGCCATGCATCTTCCAATGCGGTAGCCTCGACTCATGGGCGTAGAGCCTCTTCGAGATGATGTAGTCGAGCACTGCATCTCCGAGAAACTCAAAGCGCTCGTATGAGCAATGTACGTTCGGGCCACGGAATGTAGAGTGGGTAAGCGATTCTAGTAAAAGGTCCTTCCTGTTGAACGTGTGGCCAAGAAGCTTCTCGACCAAAGCCAAGTTTGTTACTGTGTCTTGCGACGGAGCTGCGTTGTAGAGTATCTCGTTCGCTTCCGGGATAGGCGTCCATTTCTCTAGTGGTAGGAGAGCTTGCACACATGCGAACGCTTTGGGGAAGCCGCCGACCAGATAGGAGGCGCCAATGAGCGACTCTATGACGTCGGCGATGAGTTTCGATGACTTCTCTTGCTTAGCCGCCGGCGCACTGTCAGCAAGTGTGTCACTAATATATCGTGGCTTCCACTTTGCGCCGGTGAAGTTCTTGTAGAAGATGAACTTGTCTAAGCCCGCAGCCAGCGTAGCTCGCGCCAGGTAGCCGTTACTGACAAGCTTGCCTTTCTTCCCAGTGAGAATCCCTTCGGGCATGATGAGATTTGCAGCCATCAGATGAAGCGAAGCGACGAACTTCAAGATGCAGTCGCCAAGGAATTCCATCCTCTGGTAGTTGTCACGCTTGTCAACCGCGGATGAAGTAAGTGCTGTGATGATGACTGGAAGGTCCGGTGCCTCGAATCCAGCTGGCTGGAGAACCGTCGTCCGAAGTGTATCCGCGATCATGTATACCTCAAGCTTGTGCAGGATCGATGGTAACAACAAGGCCAGAATGGCGTATCTAGTCGGAAGACTTTCAACAAGACATGATGAAGCTAGTAGACTCTCTACTTTGGTATACGCTTCGCTCTTGTTTGCGTTCTCAAATACCGCATGTAAAAAGTCTCGACGTTTGGGCAAACGCACAACTTGTATCAGGGTTTCGTCAACGCCTGTCAGGTCTGGGGACTCTGGAAGCTCGATAGACATGGGCATGAACTTCCGGAGGTCTCCTTGCAAGGAAGTCAGACCCCAGTTCGATGTGTCCAGGTTTCCTTGAGCCAGGATTTTGGATGCTGGGCGCTGGCCTTCCGTTGTCGCATTCCATTCGTATAGCTCGCTCTCTGTCATCATATATCCCGATGAGTCGCATGGAGCAAGTAGACAGAGAAAGTCGTCGACCCCTTTGATGATGTGTGCTCCGAAAACCGAGCGCAAAATCTTCCACGTGATGGAGCGTAACAGATCAATGTCGATATCGACCAAAGATGTACCGTAAAGAGCGGAGGTTGTAGCAGTGTACTGCTTCGATTCGTTCCAATGTAGTAAGATATTAGGAATCTCATGCATGGGAGCTGGTGTTAGTAGTATCATGCGCATCGGTTCCTCCCCTGGCGTCTTCACCTCGAGCAAGGTGCGGTACCATAAGTCAGGTTCGCATTCATGAGATTGCGCAACCACCGCCCACGGATCGAGAGTTTGAGAAACAGGTACAAGGGATGGGCGATCGTCGGGAATCTGGTATTGGGCCGCATTGTCGTCTCCCTCTTCTTGGACGGGGAGTAGATTCTCGTTTACCAATCCGTGCAGGTAAAGAGCCTTGTATGCCTCAAAGGCGGCGTCTTTCTGAGCCATTCGCTCGGTGCTCCACGACTGCAGACTCTTGGCTTTCCTTACAGTCGGGTCGACAGAAATTGGTAGCGTAATGGTAGCAATGATCCGCCCCAGGGTGTTGGTAAAGTCGATTTCAGGTCGCGTGTCGACGTAGGCGTTGCCCCCTAACCGCGCGCAGAAGTGGTAGAGATGTTGAGCCGCGTTTTCCAGAGTCAACAATGCACTAGTGTCTCCAGTAAGTGAAGGCCGATTGGGCAAGGTACGAAAGCAAACGCTGGTAGTAAAGGCTTCTAACTCACCCGGTACTTGAGACACTGAAGTAGCGCTCGCCCACTTCGTCCTTCTGTTCTGCCTCCTGGGCCACCTTAACTTTGCGCTTATCGTCTTCATACGCTCTCCTCATCTCAGCCTCAAGCCCTTGCCACGATGTTAAAGATCGTGCTTCGCCAGTATCTGGGACGAGGATGAAGTAACGCGACTCCTGTCGCCTCGCTCTTCCGCGTCGCTGAACAAAGCTCTTCAGATTCTTGGGTCTTTCGAAGCATACCACGAGATGGCAACTAGATACGTCGACACCTTCTTCAAGAACAGTTGTAGCCAGGACGAGATTTATGACCCCAGCACGAAAGTCGTCGAGCGTGGTTTGTTGGTTGGCTGGTTCTGCCAGAGCGCATACGTTTGTTTTGCGCTTGCTTGTCTGCGATGTACCGACGAATGTCCCTACCCGCAACAGATCCTTGGTTCGTGGATGACATGCTAAAATTTCAGCAATTGATGCTACCCAGACTCGCTGTTCAATGAATACTAGACCTGTAAAGCCTGGGGTGCCATTCGCTTCAGCGACCAGAGTGTCGATAAGCTTTTCGACTTTGTGGGACATCTTCTCGATGATGGTAGCAGGTGAAGGTGCGGGATTCTGAAGGGGAAGGTCTTGGAATATGCTCAGGAGATGTTGTCGCTCATTGTTGGTCAAATCCAGTAGTTGCTGATCCGACCCGCGAGTTGCCTTTTCGAATTTGCCAATACATTGATGTACGTAGTACTCCATTGCTGAGATTCCGAGCTCGTCTGCCATGGCTTCCGCTTTTGACACCAGCTGTTTCAACTGGTCGAGACAATAAGTCTTATTGCTGTTCCACAGTTTGTTCAGCTGGCGAGAGACATCGAAGCCATGCTTTTGTTGGTCCAATAATGCGACGACGTACGGATCCTTTGCAAGATCATATGTGCGTAATGCATGCTGCAACGCGAGAAGCAGTTGAGAATGCTGTTGCCCTGGAACGTTTAACGAGTAGTTGACCTGAAGTAACTCCGGTCTATGAACATGCCGTATGAGTTCGGACCTATGAAGCTTTGGTGTTCTTACGGTGGCGTGCAGATTCCGCTCTATCTCCCTACAGATATCAGAGTAGTATTCGCGTCCAAACAAGCCAAACTTACTGGAGACCCTGCTCGCTGGCTGCTGCTTTCATAACAGGGCTCGCACTCAGCCCAAGAACTTTAGGCAGCGACTTGCCACCATTGTCCAATTGAGGCATATAGAAATTGGACATGATCAGATTTGCTGGGTGCTTCAAAGTACAGTGATGCGCTGCAGAATGTTAGCGGGGCCTTCTCCTGTTAACGCAACACACTGGCCTTCGTCAAAAATCAACAAAGCCAGTTTGCCCAGCCTAACAAATCCGTGTGTGAGTGCGTCAAGCAATACCCTGAAAGCGCGTTAACGGGCGCGTGTGGCTTCTCTTGCGCCCACGCTGTGGACTTACTGGTGTGTCGAAATTACGATGCGGATGTGATCCAAAACGCTGTCCCACTGCGCCTGAGTGGTCCAGAGATCAACGTCATCTCTTCCGCAAAGCAATTGGTATCCGAGTCCAGGTAAATGAGACTGGAAGACCTCATGTTGCTGCTCGCATAGTGTAACCGTGGGTGCTAGAAACCAGACGATCTAAAAAGCGTCCCGAATTCGGTGAGATGAAGTTTAGTGTGGGGACTTAGCGGCAGGTATCCGTACCTTGTCGGGCTCGCACGTCTCCAACTCCGCTCGTGTCCGTTCGATGGCTCTGCAGACTTGTCAGTAAGATTCTCTCATGGCGAAACTCTTCTACCTACATGTGCGTCTTTCCTGAGCCCGTGTCCATGACCACAATGACGTTGCCGTTCATGCTCTCTTCCACCATCTCAGCCTGATAGCCTCGCAGTTGGAACGCCTCACTGGGCACAGCAGGAGGGGCTTCAGCATCGTTATCATCTTGCATTGGCGAATCCATCTGTAAATCAAGATGATGCGACACAAGTAAAAAAGCGTTGAAAGTCACCAACTTGGTGTTGGGTCTCAGTGCTCAAAGGCGACAGGGTGCTAGCTTGGCCGTGTTCTGACCGCGGACAATCGAAATGCAGAACCCCTCGCGTACCTCTATCTGCTCTCGTTGTTGCACAAACAACCCAATTGGGTGTGTCGCGTCACTGTCTACGAACCAATGGGATCAAGTATTAGGCATTTCAAGACATCATTTTCGTAAATGCTACATAAGTCGCTTCATGCCCTTAGCACCAAGTCCATCTGCACCGACTCGGAGCAGGATGGTGCTGTGTCATAACCTTCTACCTCTACAAGTTGGTGAGGTAGTCCTCAACTTCGGACGGGCTCAACTTCCTGAATCGCGGCCCGACGGCTCCCTCGACACCCTCGGTACCAAGCAGCCTCTCCTCTGGCGGTCCGACAATGCCAATCTCAACGGTCTCGCCGTTCATCTCTCCTTCTATGGTCTCCTTGAGGGTGAGCAGGGCGATATGGATGGCGTCTTCGAGCTCGAGACCGTCGGTGTAGCGCTTCTCCAAGAAGGTCTTGGCGCTTGTCGCGCTCTTTCCTATGGCTGTCGCCTTCCAAGGGAAATAACTCCCGCTGGGGTCGACCTGGTACAGACTGGGTCCGCCCTTGAGGATTCCACCAGTCTTTCCGCTGACCTTCTTCTTCTCTTCGCTCGTCTGCTCTTCGCTCTTGCCTTCGGCCTCAGGCTCGATACCATCATCCCATCCAGCAATCAGCAGACTGACACCGTACGGCCTGACACCACCAGACTGTGTAGCCTCCTGCATCACTCGCGCCACATCCTGTACTAATATCCTTGTAGGTGGGTATTCGTTGTAGACGCGCTTGTAGCCGGTATGTGAGACCTTGCGGGCCTTGTCGACGAGAACGCGGTAGTCAGGGCCCATGCCCGAGTAGACCATACCGATGTTGGGTGTTATGAGACTGATCTTTGATGACGATTGCGAGTCGATGAGCGGCGATGACGATTTCTTCTCGGTAGCGAGGACAATGCCGTTGGTGGCTGCGAGCTCTAGTCAGCGCTGTTAGGGGGCTAATGAACGATATAACGCACCCTTGATTCCTAGTGAGGTAACACCCTGGTTGACGGCGTTCAAGGCATACTCTGTTCAGGTATTAGATGCGGTCTGCTACAAGAAGGCGGGAATCGTCATATCCCTGGGCCACGTACCGATTTGTACCAGCTTTCCGCTACATGAATGTTAGCAAACATGTCGTGCGTAATCGATAGCGCAGTGTTTACCTGGGGGAGAAAGTGGTGAGGGAGAAGGAGTATCGGTCCGCCATGACGGTTGCTTGACAGAATCTAGAGGCGGTATATAGGAGGGGGCGTAGTCGGCGGCGGAAAGACGTTCAGTGGGGTTGGTAGACGACGCGGGTACTGGAGGCGATCTGCTAGAGCTCCAGGCTACCCAGAGCTTCGTCGCCGGAAGCGCCAAGACCGGCGCTCGGCGTAACCGCAGCTCCGGTTTGTCTGAGGAAGCTGCAACCCCGAATTCTTTGAGCTTCCAGAACTGCTCCTCTGCATCACCACCACGTCTACAATATCCTGCCACCGTGTCCCTAGTGTCATACCGCCCAAGGAGGCGGTGTCGGAACATGACCCGCACTACCGAGACACTTAAGTTGGCGAATGTCTTCCCCGCGGCTTCCTGATTGATCACTTCGTCATCTCATGCCTACCCACATGCTATATTACTGGTAAGAGCTGCATTAACCTCCGCCTTGTACCTTTACAGTTTCACACCCCGCCATGTCTTCTTCGTCCGGATATCAGGCTATGCCAGGCTGGTACTGGCCTGATGACGCGCCCAAGACAGAACCCGCCCACGCGACATCCTCCTCCACAGGTTCCACATCGCAACCGCCACCTTCAGCCACCTCCAATACTAGCGACAACTCTTCATCGCAGTCGCACAGCTCAAGACGTACCCACTGGCCGCCCAGACAATGCAGAATCTGCCTCGAGACAGTTCAGCCGACATTCAATGTTCCCTCACAAAGCCTTCCTGGCTTCCTACAGTCGTCCAACGTTGTGTACGAAGATGAAAGTGGCCGTTTGATCCGCCCGTGCATGTGTAAGGGATCATCCAAGTATGTTCATGAAGCTTGTTTGCAAGCTTGGAGGCATGCAGACCCTGGCTATGGGCGTAGGAACTACTGGCAGTGTCCGACTTGTGGCTTCAAGTACCGACTTGCGCGTTTAGGAGTTGGGCGTTTCATAGGCAGCGCTGGTATGTATTCCATTTGACTTTAACAGAGCAGTGCTAACATGGACTATAGCTGCTCAGGTTGGTTTGACTGCCATTATATTGATATCCATCGTGTTCATCCTCGGCTTCGTTGCAGATCCTATCATCAACCTGTATCTGGACCCATGGAGCCTTTTCTCCCCCTTTTCCTCGTCGGAATCTGACTACGCTTATTACTACGAGGATGAGTCGGCCACTTGGTACGAGCACTTTGCGAAAGGCTTCGCTAGCATGGGTGTACTTGGTTTCTTGAAAGTCCTCATCGCCAGTCCACTATCTTACTTCAGAATTGGAGGCGGTCGAGGTCGGACGACTGGTCGAGACAGATATGAGCAGGTCAGCTGGATCATCATCCTCATCGGTGTTGGCACATTTCTAGCGGTACGTGCAAAGCGATTGACATTATTGTGCAAATGCTGACAATGACCAGGCAGTATACAAAGGAGTCCGTGTATGGAGTCGCCGAACGCTTGAGAAAGCTGGCGAGCGTGTCATGGATGTCCAAGGTGACAATGACGACGATGACGAATAGCAAAGACTGAAATGCATGCAGTCGCTTTTCGGTTTTCCTCCACTCAATGCTTTGTTCTACACTTTCCAAATTCCGCACTTTCTTAAATTGCCACAAGTTATTCCTCAATACTGTGTCGATTAGTCTACGTGCGAAGATCGAACCAGCCCATGACCTCCATATCGACATTGCGCGTTTTGTGCTCGTCGGCTTTGTGGAACGTGGAGCTACTTGCCATTGGCACTCATTTCGTCTACCTTGCCTGCTCCTGGAGCATCCCTCTGTGGCTTGAACGAAAACAGGCCTTTGGCACATCGTATGAAAACTTGGAATGAATTAATTCTTGGGAACCACAAATGAAATCGCGCGCCCCCTTCATCACTTGCTAGTGACGCTGCCATCTATGAGTCCCAAATAACGCCATGGGGGATGTACCTCAGCTAAGATGTGCTGCGAAGCCTGCCCGTCTATAATGGCATTGCTCTGCGATACCATACGCCCAAACCAAACCAAACCAAACTATACCAATCCGATCCAACCGTGAACAAACGAGAAAACGTACAATACAATATATAGGCCCAGGGTATCAATGTAGAATATTAAAAGCCACCTCTTCTCTCTCTCTCTCTCTTTCTTTCACCTAGTGATCGCCCAAACTGGGCTTACCACCCTTCATAAAGACACGCTTGGTCGCACCAACCTTGCCTAGATCACCAAATTCTGTCTTCTTTCCTCCTACAGCGCTGCCAGGGCGGCTGTCACTCCTACTGTCGGTGCGCTCGAAATTTGGATGGCTTGAGGTAATGACGTTGCTGCTCACGGTGCGAGCCTGCTTCATCATGCCCTCAATCCACTCCAGCTTCTCGCCGCTGAGATCCAATTTCTTGGCTGATGGGCCCGCCATTCCGACTTCCCTACCCTGCCAGGAACTGCGAGACGAAGTTGTGGAGGGTATCGTCGGGTCTTCAGTAGTGGCACCTGGTGTTCCAGGAATAAAGCTGGGCATCGGCGGTGGCGCTTCGTCGCTTGTAAAGGCTAGACCAGATGATTTGACGGGTGTGGTGGATGGGCTGGCCAAGGGAAAGCCAACGCTGATGCGTCTTTCCATCTTACTCGCCCTGCTGTCAGGTCTCGTCGGCGAACTATCGGGGTTCTTCACCTCCAGACCCAGTACCTCAAATTTGCCTTCGCTTGCTGTCCTGCGGCCGTGGTGCTCGGCGTACTGGCGCAGGTACTCGCCTAGGTCAGACCAACCACCGCCGACACGCACCATGACACGCTCGCCATTCTCGCCAACGCGGCGGATGAACAGCTTGATCGGCTGTTCTTTGCCAGGTTGTGTGAGATGATACAGTTTGATGTCGTTGTCGCCTCTCGCAGCTGCAGCCGACCTCCGTCCTGAAGTAGCGTTGTTCAACTCGAACTCAGTCTTTGCAGGGGACAGTGTGAGCTCAGGAGACTTGAGGCCGCTGACTGAGCGAGCTGCGCGTAGATATCCACGACTGCTTTTCGCGAGAAGGCCACGCGCCGACTTGACTTCGGGCGCATCGGGGCCGGGGCCTGACCTAAGCCTGATATGGGCGGGGATAGTCGTGAGGATGTCGGAGATCTTTCGCTCAAGTTCTTCAGCGCTGTTGTTAGCTTTCTGAGCAAAGTGCGTCGGTGGCCATGGAGCGCTTGATGTGTCATCAGCGGTGGTAGTAGTCTTGACTGGTCGACGCTTCGCCATGGCTGCATTCAGTTCAGGGCGTGGCGCTCTCATAGAACGATTAGTGGCGTTTCGGACTGAAGGAGACTCCTCGATAGTACTAGGTGGGCTTGAATCAGGCGACATATCTGTGGACAGCGAACTAAGACTGCCCCTCCATGATCGCGGCGTTTGAGGAGGCTCCATAACGGGGCTGTCGTGTCCATCGTTCTTTGTAATCGTGGGATTGCCGAAAAGCGCCAGAGGTTTGGGCCTGCCTTGTAAAGATGCTTGGGATGAATGGTCGTCAGTCTCTGTATGGATGGCGACTTCTTCGGGGCCTTCATCAAGATCGTACTGTACAACTGTGTCGCCTTCTTCGAACTCCGAGTCTTCGTCAACAGAGGCCGGTCCTGGTTCGAAGCTCATCTTCTCTAGATGTGTCGTCGCAGTAGGGGACTTCGATGGTGACGCGAAACCTTGTGCCAGCTCGTGTTCGGTAACATCGGTCTCACCCGAGACTTGTCGTGCGTTGCTGGAGCCGATGGAGGTATGAAGTGTTGAGTTGCTGCTGCTCGATGCGTTCATGGCATAGTCTCCAGAGAAGATCCCACGCTGGGGCGCACTGAAGTAGTCATCCTGCATGGCGTTGTGGCGGCTGCTCTGCGAAGCAAGCTTCGGTGGCGGCGATTGGAGTGTAGATGCGACAGAGTCGATTCGAGCATTGAGAGCATCCAATCTGGACGTAGTAGCGGATTGCACAGCCGCAGTAGGTGCGACAATGGACACATCGTTACCAGCATTGACTGATGAGGATGCTGTTTTCAATACCCGCTCGCCGCTTGTATGCGCAGTTGCACCCGCATCGACCTCTGGTTGTAGCGCAGGTTCAGGGGCGCCCTTCTCGGTAGTGTTAAAACCTTCCGCCTGTCTCCGAACCTCGAGATCGATTATCCTCCTTCTTGATTCGAGTTTCCATTGCCCATAGTCAGCCTCTGTAGTTTCAAAGACGTCTATCCAGTGCTCGGGTAGAGTGTCCTCCTGTCCTTCGAGTGTATCGAGCATCTTGTCTAGTTGCCTCCCCAAGTCGCTGACCTTCTGATGGAGCACGAGCGATATGGTATCTACTGCCTTCTTCCACTGCTCAAATGCAGCGTCGGACGTGTCTGCTGGTGCCTCGATGGCATCCCAGCCTAGCCGCATGGCTTCTTGCGCCGTATCGAGTTCGCCGGTGTAACGCGGGGCTTCGCGGAGGATGGAGACGCGGGCGGTCCACGTGCTTAGGCGGGCTTTGAGCTGGGCGTGGTGCGGTAGGGCGGATAGGAGGGTCTGAGTGATGAGAAAGGAGAAGTCGTCCATGACCTTGTAGTGCTGGCGATTGGCCTCGTAGCCCGCAGAGGACGGCCTCGACCTGCCTGCCGGGTGCATATCCAGCACGTGCTCCTTCAGCTCTTCGACGTCAAGCTTGAGCATCTCGTCGGCGATGTCGTCGAGGCGCGCCTCGTGTTGCTCCACCTCGACCGACAGCATCGAACCCCAGTACTCTAATGGCGGCATGACATTGCCCATGTCGGAACCGGCGACGTGCTCCCTGATGCGCAGCTCGATGCTTTTCCTCCTCTGCTCGCGGACCTGGGCGCTGGGCTGCTCGAAGCTGCCCGACCACCCCCATTGCTCAATCTCGGCGCACCATATCTTCAGCCGCTGCGCAGCCTTTGCGACGCGCGATCCCAGGTCTCTCTCGGCGGCGGTGAGAGTCTCGATGCAGGAAAACATTTTGTATTCGTCGCGTGTTGTGTCGAACGGCATCGGCTTTTGTGTGAAGGCGCGGAGGGTC